GGACTAAATTCATACACCACCCCTTAGGGTATCAGAAAACTTAACCGCTAGGAACATAAGAGACAAAATTATTAGGCCAGCTTATGCTACTCAGACAAGGCTTCTTAGACTACTTATTTCTATACCCTAAGACTTGAGAGCAACCTTACTGCTACCTACTAGACACCTCTTCTCATTCTTAACATCTTGGCACATCATCTCAGATACATGGGGACCCTTGGTAGTAGCAATGTGACCCAATCCAGCAAAGGTATCATGTTAACAACTCAAGAATTGTAATTGGACGACAATCGTCCCATCATCGCTGTTTTGCTTTTCAGTTTCGATGATCTTCGGGAGTAAGCTTATTTGGTCTTGAACTCCGAATCTCAGTCCGGAGCATAACCTTCGAGGCAGAGGAGGAGAGGACAAGCATTGAGATTGCTCAAATCTATGACGCAATCTTGACATCTCTATCAGCTTGATTCCATTTTCAATGTTCCATAAACCCACCCAAAACTCCCCAGTAACGATCTCTCCCTCTATCAACCGATCCCGTGTTTGTTAAATCTCGGAGCATTTTGGTTTCACGACCATCCTTGCTGGGAAAGCTTGTCCGAGTGATCACCTCTTTACAGGCCGGCATTATTCCCACTCAATCGTTTCTCTATCTCTGCGCTGATCCATTGGAGAGACTGCAGGGATATTATGTGATGCGCTCATATCCCATCCATCACATTGGTGGCTTGTAAATCACAAACCATAGGACAAGGTACATTGCCCAGGTCCTAGCACGACCTCATGCTACCATTGTCTCCAAGGATGAGTAGTTACAAAGCAGATGCTCGATTCTGAAGGGCTTACGACATCATTCCCGATGGCCGCAGAAACATACTCGAGCCCAATTTGTATCGCTCGCTTGTGATGGGGTCTCCATACCCCCCTCTGCTTGAGCGGTGATTCCAAATCGGTCGTCACCGGTTTCTCGATTCGCTGCGATCCCACAGGTATAAGAGGGCACAAATCCCAGCATGCCCGTAGTTGTGACCGACCTACCCATAAGGACGCTTTGCCTGATTGACAGCCTGTGTCACTCGAAAAATGGTGTTTTCCAAGCTTCTTGTTGCTCTTGGATTCGCCAGCCTAACCGCTGCGCAATGTCCCTACGCTGACCCAGCCAAACTGGCAGCTGGAGAGGGGGGAAATTCTCGTGACTATCTCAAGGACTATGAAGTTGATGATAGTAAGGGGTATATGAGTTCCGATGCTGGTGGCCCCTTTGAGGAACAGGAGAGTTTAAAGGCAGGAGAACGAGGTCCTACACTGCTCGAAGACTTTATCTTCCGCCAAAAGATCACACATTTCGATCACGAACGGGTATTTACTCTCTGAGATGTCAATGGTATGTTTTGAGATTAATGTCTCTGCAGGTCCCTGAAAGAGCCGTTCACGCCCGAGGTACTGGGGCTCATGGTTACTTCAAGAGCTACAGCGACTGGAGCAACATCACAGCAGCTTCTTTCCTCAGCTCAAAAGATAAAAAGACTCCTGTCTTTGTACGCTTTTCGACTGTTGCTGGTTCCAGAGGTAGCGCCGATACTGTGCGAGATGTACACGGATTCGCTACCCGATTGTACGATCAACCCCTGACTCAATAGAAAGCAATTACTTACATATTTCAACAGCTACACAGATGCTGGCTTGTTTGATATTGTGGGAAACAATATCCCTGTATTCTTTATCCAGGATGCAATTCAGTTCCCAGATCTCATCCACGCTGTCAAGCCATCCCCTGACAGTGAGATCCCGCAAGCCGCCACAGCTCACGACTCAGCATGGGACTTTTTCAGTCAGCAAACTACAACCCTACACACTCTATTCTGGGCCATGGCAGGATATGGAATTCCACGCTCGTTTCGTCACGTAGATGGGTTTGGTGTTCACACTTTCCGCTTGGTGACTGATGATGGTGACACCAAGTTCGTCAAGTGGCACTGGAAGAGCAAGCAGGGCAAAGCCAGCCTAGTATGGGACGAAGCACAGCACCTGGCCGGAAAGAACGCCGATTATCATCGTGCCGATCTCTGGAATGCCATTGAGTCTGGTAACGGGCCTGAATGGGAACTCAATGCCCAGATCTTTGACGAGGACCAGGCTCTGGCGTTTGGATTTGATGTTCTGGACGCTACCAAAATCATTCCTGAAGAGCTAGTTCCTCTCCAGCCTATTGGTGTTATGAAGTTGGATACAAACCCAGTCAACTATTTTGCTGAGACTGAGCAGGTCATGGTGAGTAAGCACAACAAACCACAAGATGAGTTGACTAACTTAACTAGTTCCAACCTGGCCACATTGTTCGCGGTATCGACTTTACCGAAGATCCTCTGCTGCAGGGACGTATCTTTTCTTACCTTGATACTCAACTCAACCGTCATGGTGGTCCCAACTTTGAGCAACTCCCCATCAACCGTCCTCTGTCTCCTATCCATAACAACAACCGTGATGGAGCCGGGCAGAACTTTGTCCACAAGAATACTGCTGCTTGTGAGTTAACTTCCAATAAATCCTGGACCATCTAGCTGACTCTCTAGACACTCCTAATACTCTAAACAAGGGCTACCCTGTTCAGGCAAACCAGACACAAGGAAAAGGCTTTTTTACTGCCCCTGGCCGCAAGGTTTCTGGAAACCTGGTGCGCGTCAGAGCATCCACCTTTTCAGACCACTGGAGTCAGCCACGACTCTTCTACAACTCTCTGACCAAAGTAGAGCAGCAGTTTCTCATCAACGCCATACGTTTCGAGACAAGTCAGCTCAAGTCTGAAACTGTCCAGAAGAACGTTCTCTACCAGCTGAACAAAATCAGCCACGATATTGCTGTCAGAGTTGGCAGGGCTTTGGGTCTCCAGGCCCCTGAGGCTGACGACAAGTACTACCACGACAATACCACAGCTGGAATCTCCATTTTTGGAACCAAGTTGCCAAGCATTGCAACGCTCTCTGTTGGTGTCTTGGTTTCTATCAACTCTGATAACTCCATCCAGCAAGCCAAGGCTCTCAAGAAGGCACTTGGCGAGGACAAGGTGACCGTGTCGATTATAGGCGAAGTTCTTGGAGACGATGTTGAAGTTACTTACAGTGCTGCAACTGCTGCTCAATTTGATAGTGTCGTTGTTACCAGCGGTACCGAGTCTCTTTTCAACGGCACCGGAAAGTCAACTCTATTCCCTCCCGGCCGTCCTACGCAGATTATTGTGGACGGTTATCATTGGGGTAAGCCTGTTGGATTTATTGGAGGTGCAAAGGCGGCAGCTCAGGCTGCGAGAGTTAGTAAAGGGAAAGGAGTGTACTTTCCGAAGGACGTTAACTCTTTGGTTGAAGATTTAAAGGATGGGTTGGCTACTTTCAAGTTCACTGACCGATTCCCCCTGGACCACTAAGGTGGTGATCATCTCAAGGTTCAGGTCAGGGTACGATGGAATACTTCTCTTTTCGCGAGTATATAATTCTAGTTTATCAAGTGATTGAAACAAGTCAACAAGGCGATATTTATACATTCCCAAACATATTGTTAGCCACAATGTCGGCTGTAGCCGTCTCTGCCTCAGGAGCCAACTCAAATGAGTCCTTTGATGAATCACTGCTCTGGGCAGCACGTCAGACGACCAGCCCAAAAGTCTAGCCAAGGTTCACCCAGACCAAACACCGAGCAATCTGCATTGAGCAGGTATAAAGAAGCAAATTCCTTCTGGCATCTTCTGCGTTTCATTATACGATGATCATGCGAAAGTTACCGACAGCTACTTCTGTATATAAAGGCACATGAGAAAAAGCGGGATCTACAACAGGTCAAGATTGGCGATGAGCAAAGGCAGAATAATCATCTGTGGCTTGTTGCAGCTGGGGAAGTCAAGGCAAAATCGCTGTCTCAAACTGCCAGTGGCCAACCATTACGATCAAAAATAGAGCGATTTGTTACAACCATTCTGAAGCTGCGTTCAGTTGTGGTTGGCTACGGTTCTGCCAGTTCCTTCTCTACTCGAATTTTAAATTGATGCATACAATTGAGAAAGTTGAGCCTTGTGCCACTCTATGGATCAGTATCCTCAAGCTCGAGGAGGAACAGCGTAGCAAGTTCGGGCTGGACTAACTCTGACGCATCGTGAATGTCACTAGGGGCCGGGACTTAGTTGACTGCTTCTTCCATCACGAAGAGTGTCGATACTGCATAGCAGACTTGAGAACGTATGAAAGTTCATAGGAAGCTTGAGTGCTTGACTTTATACATGTTTGTAGCGTGTTAAATGAACAGATTGCTGCCGCGGGTTGATGAGACCCATGACAGTGATATGCCTGTGATGAATTACTGCTAAGCAGCAGTTTTCGTCTGCCCACGTATTCTGCGACAGCACCATAAATAAATCTCTCATGGGAGTTTTAACAAAACCATACACATTATTGGTGTTGGCAAAACCCAAGAATGTGAGTCTGGTTGTGTTGGCCCCACATCCTGGTGAGACTGCAACCAAGCATAGGTAAACCGGTTGTGGCAATGGTATAACGGCGAGGACAAGGCTAATGCTAGAATTTAGAATATGATCCAGACCAAACGGCCGAGTACTCGCCAATTAGTGCTGTATCTTCATTGGCATGCATGGTGAACAAGTATATGTTGGAGTTTGTACGCGTGCCAGTTCCATTCACAAGAATAAGTCAACGTATGGTGCTATGGCACCCTCCTAGCTATGGTACCTCCCCTTGCGAGAGCCAATTGGTTAGCTACTTGAGGCTATCTAATTGGTGCTGACAAGGGGGGATGCCATAGCACCCCGCACGTTGACTTACGTAGAACAATTTCGACACTTAGCTACACAACCTACCACATATCTAAGGTTAGAAGGTACGGCAAGCTTAACAATTAGATTAGTAGATAGAATGTTCGCTATGTCCAGCAAGAACATTGAGCATGCGTCAAGGGGGGCGAGAGGCCGCAAAAGAGAAGGGGAAAAATCACAAAAAAACAGGTCGAACCGAGGCTTGAACTCGGGACCTTCTCGGCGCTTAATGATATTAAGTGTGAACGAGACGTGATAACCACTACACCATTCGACCTCAGTGTTCGTTAGATTGACAAGAGGGTGTTGTGGTAGATGAGGCATTTCTCTGTTGTTGATGGGCAGACATTTGAAGACGTTTAACGGGAAAGTGGGGAGCCCCGAAAATGAACTAACGCAAATTGATACAAGTCGGCCCGATGTGTGGGTCCACCGACCCGGCCCCTCTCATTCGCCAGATCGAACTCAATCTGTTAAACGGAAGGTACTCGACGACGACATGGCATCAAATAAATAAACCGTGCTTGAGTATCACATGTACTGTTGAAGAGAAGAAGGAGCAGCTAGCTACGAATCAGTGTTTTTTATGTTCAGGTTGTGCTGTGAAATTTATCGTACCATGAGACTTAGCTACAAGCGAGGTATTGGGTCCTGCAAGTCACGTAGTACCATCAAGTATCAAAACCAACATCCACAGGACTAAAGTTCCACTATTGATCAAGCGGATGAAATACTATTGCGTGAAGTTCATGAAGAGAGTAACTATGTTTAATAGGCTAAATATTCAATGATGTAGCAGAGGGAGTATCTGAGGGTTTATAAAGGAGTTACGAAAGAGGGTATACATGGAACAAGGAATTGAGGGTGTATCAATGGCGTTGGAATAGTACTAGATATAGATAAACTTGTTTAATAAGATCTTGAATGTGACAGCGCAGAAACTCCCCAGACCCAGGCTCATGGAAAATGGTGTCTGCAGTAAAAAATCTAACTCCGTCAGTTTGAGGAGCAAAAGAAAGGTCTCGGAGGGAGTCGAACCCTCGCTGGCGGAATCAGAATCCGCAGTCATAACCGTTAGACCACGAAACCAGCTTGTTGTGTGGATGTTGAAAAGTCTTTTCGTATTGTGGCCCTTGACAGATTTCTGTCGTTGGGTGATGGGATTTCGCGCCAAGTTGCGAAGACCCACGTCTGCTGACATGTGGGGCTGCTCTAACACCCTCTCTCATTTGCCAGAAAAAAGAAGGCACTTAATAGCGTCGTAGTTGTAAGTGATTTTCAAAGCCTAGAACCAACTTCAACTCTCTCTCACTCCGTAGCCGATATGAAAATGCAATTGATACAGTTTACACAGTAATTTTATTCTCATATATATAAAGCCGCTATAAGATCTGTTTATTAGCTAGCTTCTACATTTCCCTCCTTTATCCTGAGACATCTTGGACTGATATACTACGTGTCAAGTAATATGGATCGATACATTTGTAACTAATTATGTAGCCTTATAGACATACTGAAGCTTAAATTCTTACTGTTGTACTGCTGAGGACATAGTGCCGTGTTTGTGCTGTTGATTATTTTAAAGATTGATAGTGCGTTGCTATACACACACGTAGGCTGATACAAATAATGCATGGGATACGGAAATTCAGCTGTATATAACATGTCTAGATACCTCCAATATAAATGAGAGATGTATAATCAATCTCTTGTTTTTCAATGTGGTAAGTTGGCACTATTAACAACACTCATCCTGTCCCATCCCACCTACTCTTCCTCGCCATTATTATTTTCAACTCTTACCTCGGCACCTGCTCATTATCTACAGGACTTAGCAGAGAATTATGAATGAAAAATCCCATTGTTGAACTACTGATACCGTACTGTTAAGGGCATCCATCTTGGATGACTCGCCACCTCATGAATGAAAAATCCAAGTCAGTAGTGTGCTATCTTTGTGATACTGTTCAAAAACAACATTGGCCATTTCGCACACCCTCGAGAAACATGCTGGCATTCTCATATAAACGTCTGTCATGCCTTGTTTTAGGAGTTTGGGGCATGTGACAGCGCATGATATGAGTTTTGTCGCCATATTAGACCCAGTTGTTACCTACCGATGTGTTGAGAACTCTTCCCTCTTGTTGCCAGTCACGCCAGCCGTCCCGGTGCGCAACTGTTTCAAACAGTCAACAAACATTTACTTATACTTGAGTTAGTTGCATTACAATCAGATTTCAATTTCTCTCATTCTCACTACGCTTCGCCTGCTCTCCGCGAGTATCTCCTGTATTCCGCCACAACGGCACCTGCATATTTTCAGCACTAAAGAACGACATCATCTTGACATACTTTTACCTTGTAACATATGCTCAACTGATGTTCACATGGAACATCTGCTTACTTCAGTCCTTCAAATTCTCATTGAAGTATTTGCTGCTACCACCAAGATCTGCACTGGAGGCCGTTCAACCCAGGCTCACACCCTAGGCTTCGACATTGACGTTCGCCTACTCCCCATGGCCTTGTTTCTACCCTGAGGGCGAGGTATGGGTGAGAAGCTTGAACGCCATCACATCGTCATGCCGGGCCCCTCTCTGCCCCCTGATCACTCTCAGCCGCCAGAGGAGTGGGACAGAGACACTCAAGACTGTGGCAAGGCAAATAAGAGCCAACACGGTGCTTTGGTATCTCCTTGTGAAAGCATTCGACGTCGACTACCCTCTATTTGAAACGAGATTGCTCGGCGCCTACACTTTCCAGTGCGTGATACGACAGCAGTCAGTGGCAGAGTAAGTTTACCATCAATAACATAGTGCGTCTGAACGTTTAACGGCATATACTGATACATTTCTAGGCTACCGGAACGGAAATGACAGCTCGAGACATTTCCTCAAGTTGCAGTGCCCAGCGATACATCTCCTCAAGCCAAGGTTGATCCAGTCAATATGTCTTCTATCTAGCAATGATGTCGACGACAAAACTCTTCATGCCTTAGATGAAGTCATTGCCGACGAAGACAGAAACATCATCGTTACGGGAGACGCCAAGCCAATGGCGCTGAACATAATGGAGCTAGCTCTGACTACACCGATAGTTTTGACGGTAGACGGTAGAGTTGAATGGCGAGAGAGATGGCTAGATGTGCGGTTGCAGGGTTTGCGTAACTGGTGCCAACTCGAACTTCAGCAGCTTCGGGGACGTCGATGAAGACATTGGGGTAATGCGACCCAGTCTTGTCGGCGAGGTACTCGGTGATGGCGGTAGTCGCAGGAGTGGCCTTCTTTTTCATGATGTTCATCTGACCGATCGTAATGGTTAGAAATCATTCTTCGGCCTGCAGCGCAAGACAAGCTTGCTTAAGCGCATGGAGTACTCAGGGTCAATTCAGTATCGTCTCAAATGCAATTACCGTGCTCGTGGTTACGCTGCAGATTTCATCCGGAAAGAATTCCATGACGACAGTCGTGACAGGCCCGAACTGTCTGGCATCGCCGATGAGGAGGAATGATGCCTCCGGACATTTGGACATGGGGATGAGCGACATTGACTCGGTCATACAGTTCGCTCCGTTCAGCACAATGAATCCCATTTCGACCTTGGCGTGGCTGACGATTTGTGCAAAAGTCACTGGAGTACAATAAATAATGTCAACCTTGCTCGTCAAAACATGGATAAGAAGTTTACGAGCATACTCTTCGTGACGAGCATGGTTGAGGAGGGAGCATTCAGGATCTAAATGTTTCTGTTTATAGGCACTGATGTAATCGGCCTAGGTGTCTGGATCATCTCGAGCGATTTTCTTCGCAAACTCAGATATCGTGGTTGGCCCACAGGACACCGACTTCTTTTCGAACTGCACACGAACCTGGTGGTTGACGTGTTCCGCCAGGCGACGGTCTTGGGACGTTGCGTGAGGCTTTTCATCGATGGGGATGAGGATAGGCTCTTTGTCTGATGGAGAGTACATATTTTCCATCTCACACTTCCAGGGACGTGCTCTCAAAGTAAGGATGCCAGGTTCCTTGATGGACAGTCTGACCTGTGCGTCATCGCATAGCCTGCTCTCTGCTACAATCCACGCAGCTTTTGGTCTACCAATCTCAGGGGCATCAGCTGGTGCGTCTTCTGGAACATCGCACCATGCTGTCGGAAGTTGGAGAGTCGGGTCAAACAAGTTAACGTTATTTTCTTGCTCCGGTTCAATAGACTCGACGACTTAAGAGTTGTCTTGGCTGGCGTGGTGAGAGCCGTCTTTGGAGGTACTTAGATCATCGGCAGGTTCCGCAGAGGGGGATGTACGGGTAACGATAGCTTCTTTGCATGGCTCAGAGACTACTGCCAAAACAATGTCTTCGGCCAGACTTGTCTTGCCCGACCCAGGCCCACCTGTGATAGCTGCATATCCGAATGGTACCTTATTAAGCCTCGATAACATGTTATGTCGTTCGCCAATATAGTGGTGGTCTCTGAACTGTCGACCCAGAGTGGGATACTGGGCAAGCCAGTTATGGTGCTCCTTGCACTCCCCGAAGCGCTGAGTGTACTTCCAAAAGCCTTTAGCAGGGGCGTTGGGCATAGCGTTAAGTTTGGTGATTGCATCGCACTCAGCCTTGATACTTGTGTCGTTTGGTTGAAACCAAGCCTCAAACGAGACAGTGGGATGTACGGTTGTAGCCCGATATCCCTTGACAGGTTGCCAAACACTAGCCAGGAACTCATTTATAGGACCCTCGATGGTAACATGTGGCAAATTTACCTTCAATGATGGCTTCTTCATTCCCAAAGGCCAGTTAGACTGGTTGGCCGTGGTGACCTCGCATAATGCAATGTCGGCATGAGTTTCAGGTAATAGCTGACGGCGAACAATCTTGTAAGACTGTTCGAGATCAGTCGTGTATTGAAGAGTTCTTCCAAGAGTATCATTGCGAAGCCAGTCACAGATGCGACTATCCCAGTCGATATCCGACTCGCCGTGACGCTGGCGCAAGTCAGCTGCAAGATCTAAAGCTGTAGCTGCAAGTTGAACGTCCACTGGCTTGTCTGCGTGTTGCTCGATGGCTGCAGGGCTTGGAACGGTGATCATGGAGTAGAGACTTTCCGCTGCGACGTTGGTATAAACATCATCACGAACGCTGGCGAGTTTCTCTTGCAGAGTATCTTGCTTAGCTTCGTTCTCTTGCTCAATTGCCTTATCGACTTGTGCCTGGCAAGGTCGCTCTTGCATCTCGCCCTTGGTCTCGGCAAGGCGAAGGGCTTGTATGATTCCTCGCCTTG